ATAAATTTAAGAGATCACTCAATATTTCAGGCACCAGGCTCAGTATATGCCTTTTTACATACAAAATATTGTTTCCTTCATTGCTGACCCAAATGTTCTTTTCATAAGTAAGATCAATACCAGGCACTTATTTTATTGCATTTATATTATATGTTGTAGAATTTCAACTTGAGACAAGTTCCATAAATCCTGATAAATTCTTGCATTGTTCAAAAGTAAATCTGCAGGATGAACAGAGTATAAAGAGTTAGGTACTCACTCACCACTGGATCTGTGATAACTCTTCTCCCGTCAGAGTCAACGATAGTTTGAGTACTGATTGATGCTACGGTAGTGTAAGACATATCAGAGGGGAAAAAGCCCACCCAAAATATGTTGTGGTCAGTTATAAGTAAAACCTCATCTTCCCCTCATATATTCATAGTCAACACCATACTGGCTCAGAACTTTTATAGAATCATCGAATCATCTACGTTGGAAAATCATCGAGTCTAACCGTTAACCTAGCGCTGCCAAGTCCACCACTAAACCATGTCCCTAAGAACCACATCTACACGTCTTTTAAATACCTCCAGGGATGGGGACTCAACCACCTCCCAAGATCATCCTAGCAAGGACAGTTTTGAATGGTACTTCAGGTGCAAAAATGCAGACAGGAGGAAAAAGGAGTCAGTGACAAATTTTACACAAAGATCTGAAAAGCTCAGCTCAGAATTCTGCTCTAGTTAATGGCAAGATCAAGAGAGGGAGTTGTTTGTTGTGTTTTGTGTTGGCAGGCACTGATCACTAGAATTTCCCAAATGTGTTTGCTTTGTTCAGAAAGAGGAACTATATAAAAGTCATTGTAGCACAGAAATTCCTTTATTAGCCATTTATGCAAAAAAACCCTTTCATGGATCAGAGTATTTGGGCCATAATTTGACAGTTCACTGAAAGTAACTAACATCTAACAAGAATCTGGTGACAACAGCAAATCTGAAATCTACCACTGACATAGAGGCACACGTATTTTGGTGAGAACATAGTATTTGAATAACACAGCATGTTATTCTGCCTGCTCTTTGGACAACAGCTGTAAGTGGAACATAAAGCACTCTGAGATCTAAAAATCATCAAAAAATACTGGGAGAATATTGGCTTTGGTACTTAACATTTCCTCTTTTTCCCTCTTATTCCAATATTCTCTGCTTTTGAACAGGATGTTCAAAAGGATCAAGAATCTTCAAGGAGACTGACATTAGAGAGGGATATTCTATATAACCCGTATCACATATATTACATAATATATACAAGTATTCTTAATATATAAAACATTCACATATAAACTCACTGGATGAAATCTATCTCCCAATGTGAAATCAATGAGCATGTTCTTATTAAATCCCACAGAGCCAAGGTCTTAGACTCTCTTTCCAGACACTGGTGACAGAAAGACAGACAGGCAGAGAAAGAGGCTTGGAAGTTTCTGGCAGATGTTGTATAGGGACTGACTCAATCACCGTACGTCTACACTATGTAATGGAGTGAAATGGCCCTGCTGCGAGAGGGTAGCTCAGCTGCATTATTTCTAGGGCTCGAGTTAGTCACCTCCATACAGAACTACTCTGCCGCATGGATAAATCAGTTCCCTCTGAGAGAAACAGGGCTGGTTTTGCTGCAGGCCTTCACGTAGTGTAGGCATGTCTGAAGCAAACAAATCCTTCTTTTTCTGTCTCTTCTGAAAAAAACGAAGCATGGAATTCTCTGCATTAGTCACAGTGTCAGAGAGTGTGATACTGTCACTCTTTTGTTTCCTGCAGCAGAAGACGGGACTGTGGTTTGAATCATATGCAAACATTTCTGAAATGTCTTTTGCAAAGTACATAAAAAAGACAAAGTGTGCGAACAGGGGAGAACTCACCATCCTCTACATCCACAACTATGCACAAAGGAGAAATAAAATGCACAGTAACACTCCTGAAAGGTTTGATTTGAAGGGTGCTCTTCTGAAAAATGAAATACGCATTTAGGAAGCTGACTGCACAAATTGCTTTCTCTAAATGTATATAACTTTCCATGGGGAATACTGAGGTAACCGAGGATGGCGAGAAGAAAAAAAGTCTCCCAACCAGTCCTTACAATGCTACACCTTGAAATTTCACACTCAATTCAAAAGACGCCCTAGAGCTTAATGGTTAAAACTTCCAGCAAACAAAATTGCTTTTCTTGTATTTTCCAAAGAAGGAATAGTGAAAGCTACATGATGATCTGAGAGCAAAGTCACCTGTAAATGTATAAAGGTAAATAACAGATGCACTGGAAATTCAGCCCAGTTAACAAAAAATAAAATAAATCTTGATGGGAACACTGAATAATTCACAGGCCACATCACCGGAGTGACCACAGGCAGGTCTGTGCAGAGTCCAGGCAGCACTGTACAAATAATTTACAACTTGGAAAAAGTGAACACTGCATAACACAACTGCTGATTGCAAACCATCTCATCAAACCAAGTCAGCAGCTCTGCAAACATCAATGCGCTCTAGGCAATGCCATGGCAATGACTTCAAGTGGGGCTATAACCTGATCCTGTACGTGTAACTCTAGCAGGGCCAAGTCTTCATTACCTTTTGCGATGTTTACTTTAAGAGATAAATTATGACCTTGACAGTCTACTGTTCAGAAAGAGGAAAAATCCCCAAACGGTGCTACAGAGCTAAATTGTTCTGAGGGTTAGACAGAGTAAAAGACGTACGTAAGGGATATGCTACCATTTTACCTGGGGAACCTCAGATAGCCAATGATATAAACGCCACCCGAACAAAAAGACTTGTTAATCCCAAGAACAGCAGTAATTCTATCACAAGGGACATTCTAAAAAACCATGCAGATGGTAACTGAACATTGGTAATAAGTTTAATTAATAGTAGGGGTATGTGTTTCCCATGGTGTTTTTAATCAATATTGCTCAGGAAATTTGGCTGAGAATGGATAACACTGTGTAAGGAACTGTTCCTCTAAATTGCTTAATTTCAGAGACAGGCTGTCAGGAAAGATGCACACAGCAGCCCTGACTTCATTCTACAGAGGTTACAAAAAAAGCCTTTCATGAACCAAGAGTCTGCAGTTATTCCTGAATAACACGTGACCGCTCTGCCTTCCCCAAAGGAGGTCCTTTCTCTGCCCAGATCCTCCTTCGTCATCCCTAGTTCTGCTTGATCTTCAGCAGTGTGAACACCTCAGAGAGGCAAGTCCCTGTTCAGCAACAATACATGGAGAAGACTCTTTAAGCTTGCCAAGCCTTCATGTACCAAAGCCGTAGCTGGAAAAAGCCATTTGCTAAATATTAATTTTCAAGCAGCTTAAAAACCTAAAATGAAATTACTGCCTTCTACATTTGGGTTTTCTGGAACATGCAGTGACAACCCAGATTCTGAGTCCAGCCTGGAATTTCAAAGGGTTGCGACACTAGTCAATCGCTTTCCCTGGTTCCCAGTTATAGCTGAAATTTCTCACCTTCACCAAAAACTCAAACCCCATACACTTCATATCCCAGTGTTTCAATAGTGTGCTCAGCAAAGAAAAGCACACAAGGATGCTTCAAAGTCAGCTAAAGTCCATGAAAGACTCCAGTTCACTTGAACTGGTTTTGGATTAGAGCTGTAATCCAAATATTTGCACCGATGCAAGAACTTAATGTAAACAGCAGCATGCCACTGTGAAAATAGCACACAAGTACCTGCTGGGTGGAATGCTTCAATAAACTTATTCACAATGCTTAAAAGCAAAAAAACCAGCATTAGTCCAATCACAAGGCTAGGTTTCTTAAGAACATATTAATTCTCTGTACAGGTACGGGAATGTATTTATCAATAGGATATACAGGGTGTGTAAGAAAGCAGAGACACCAGTACTGAAAGCCAATGTGTTCCTTTCAGGGGGAGGTGTCCAGCTGCTAAGCAGTACATGCTGCTTTCATTGCTATTTCTTACTTTCTATAAGGCAAAAAGTGGTGGCGGGACCTGGTTTGTTTTCTGCCAGGTGAAATACAGTCAGCAGACACTTGTGCGTATGAAGGAGGCCGTACGTACACCTCAGTCCCTGCAACCGATGCGTCCCTCTGTTAGCTCGCTCTTTGGATGGATGTAACCTAGCGGCTGCCCATCACTAAGGGATAAAGCTCAATGTAGTCTCTTGCTTACCCAAATAATTACAAGTTAATTTACATTTGCCTCTTCATTTCACTGGAATAAAGCAAAAGTATAATTTTTTAGGCTCAGCTCAGGAAAATAAAAAATGTGAATCCAAGGTAGTTCAACTGAAGCCAAAGTTTTTTGATACCAAAAGCGAGAAAATACTGCTTGTAGCACGTGGCCTCAATACTGGGAGAGGATTCTTCAAGGCAAGTTTCACCCACTGGGTGAATATTTATTTTCCTTTAGATTAAAACATTTGCATGTACAGAAAGAAACATGATTTATATATGGCATAACTGAGCCAAGGATCCAGATGACTTAATGAACATCTCTGAACCACTTTCAATTGCCCCAGAGTACACAGCATTTGTGAAAGCACCACGCACTGAACAGCACCCGAAGTTTACAGAGACATTCAAACATTAATCTTTCTTTTGAAGAGAAACTGATTTTTGTACAGGCTTATAAACCAGTCAAGTTTAAATTAATTTCTCTTTGAGAGCAGAAAGTGGGACTTATTTGGGAATTACAGGCTGCGTGCCAAAAAAAACCAGAATACAGAAACGAGTTTCATTCATTTAGACTGGAAGAAGCAACATCATAAAAATAAGCAGGTAGCTATATCTGTTCATTCAGATATTTCACGCGCTCATTATCGTCTATACACCACTGAAAGATGGCGGTCATTCGACCACCTGCTAGCTGGGATTTGTTCATTTCTGATACCAGTGACTCAAGCAGATATATATTGCGTCGTCCTTAGTGTTTTTGGATGCTGGTTCACAGACTGTTCTTTTATTTAATTCTCTTTTTGTTTTGTGTCAGGGCGAGTGTTCTCAGAAGTGCTATTACATCTTCATCATAGAGACCATCTGTGTGGCTTGGTTTTCCCTGGAGTTCTGCCTCCGATTCATTCAGGCAAGGAGCAAGTGTCAGTTCTTCAAAGGACCCCTAAATATCATTGACTTCTTGGCTATTTCCCCCTATTACGTTTCCCTCATCTTCTCAGAGGATGACTCAAATGAGGAGGATGACAGGCCAAGCAGCAACACATATTTGGAGAAGGTTGGTTTGGTGCTACGGGTTTTACGTGCCTTGAGGATCTTGTATGTAATGCGCCTTGCCCGACACTCCTTGGGCTTGCAGACTTTGGGCCTCACAGTTCGGAGATGCACACGGGAATTTGGCCTGCTTTTACTCTTCTTATGCGTGGCTGTCACTCTGTTTTCTCCTTTGGTCTATCTCGCCGAGAATGAATCTGGGAAGGTGCTTGAATTTACAAGCATACCCGCTTCTTACTGGTGGGCTATCATTTCAATGACCACTGTGGGGTACGGAGATATGGTACCACGGAGCGTCCCAGGCCAGATGGTGGCTCTGAGCAGCATCCTCAGTGGGATTCTCATCATGTCTTTTCCTGCAACATCAATATTCCACACTTTTTCCCATTCCTACTCAGAGTTGAGAAAAGAACATGAACGATTGCAGTCTCGGCTAAACAGAGTAAAAAATGCCAACCACTCTGGTGAGAGCGACACCTTCAATGAGACAGACAGCTTGATCCTGGAGGATCAAGCATCACCAATCAAATACATTTACACAGGGAACTAAGCCTGGTTGTAAAACGTTCCCAAGAACACGAATAGAAATATACACATACGTATGACAACATAATACACAAAGCAAAGCAACAACATAGGTTACGATGCTAATTTTCTCTGCCAGCATAGGTATGATAAGCAGTCAAGCCAACGCAGCTAGTTCCAACACATCATTATGGAGCTGGAGGTCTTGAGAATGTCAAAAGTCAGAGTTTATTCAATAATACTCATTCTTCTCTATGACTAATAAGAATAAACCTTGTCTCTGTCAGTCTTGTATCTTGCTGAATACCTAATATTGAACGAGTAACAAACAAAACAGCTTTTGTTGGCACAAATACACTTGTTATTTTATTTGCCTTTGAGTTCCCAGTGTTCTTGCAATTAACATCTTGAGTCAAGCATTAGAATGGATTCTTTCAGGGCTACGCACCAGTGTTTATACAATGCTCATCCACCAGGCATACATAAGCCTCGATACAAATCTGAATTCTGTATCTAAAGCTACCAATAAGCTTAAAATAAAAGCACTGTATGTGAAAGCTTTCAAAGTTTGCCTGTAGCCAGACGATCAATCTATAAATAACAAATGGCACTGCTATTGTATAAAATACATAGTGTTTGCAAGAGAATTTGCTTGAAATGCAGTTGCGGTCTGCAAACTGTAAACGTTTCATACTAGACAGCAAAAGTTTTCAAACTTCTTTTTCATATATTTATTTAAAATAATAACGAGGAATAAAAAAACCAAGATTATTGACCATATTAAAAAGAGTTGGTGTTATCTTTTTTATTGAATGGTGATGGCTTCTCTGGAGGAAAGATAAAAAACAGAGTTATTGAAAATAAGATGACAGCTCAGAAGTATCCAAAGGTATAACTAGTAAAGAATGAGGTGAATGATTGCCAGAGAGGCAGTGGGAGTGATTTCCTAATGCAAATGGCAGACGTCCCTTTTGGGATGTCCAAGTATAGCCAGAAGAAAGCAACAGGACTACACAGAAGTCAACAACGCTACTTCGTGGGATAGTCTAGATGATCTTTTACAATTCGACCTTTTAGATGCTGTGAATGCAGTTAGTGAAGACTGATACCGAGCCACGAAGGCCAGGTCTGGGCACGCACCTGTGTGTTTAGGGCCTGCGTCAGCTCACAGGTCCTGAGTTTGTGAGCAGCCCTGTTGATACCCGCAGAACTTTGACACGCTGAATGCTGGACAGATATTTAAGTGCTGAGATAAATCAAGGCCTAAATTATTTTTTAATCAGATTTTCAGCTTTCATTATTCCATTTCTTAAATCTTACCAAGGTCCCCCTGACCTTGTGATGGAGCAAAGCTCAGTGAAGTGACGATTCAGTTCCAGTTTTCAGCAGGCACCATGCTTTCCCAGCACGGTGCGGTTTGGAGCCCAGGGGTTACCTCCAGGCGCTGTGACCCGTCTCCCACGTGGACACACAAACATGGCCACTTGCAGAGTTATGCAACTTCATGCAGGCGTTGGGGACTTTTGGGTTTTAGATACTGTCCTCGCTGTGCTGCGTAGCTTAAGTACAGAAAAGCACAGTTGTTGGCACAATTTGGATCACGTGACTCAAATTAATCTCTTGGATTTATCTTGCTATTGACCCTATGATTTAAACCAGAGACACTGTAGCAGATTATAGATGGGATGTTCCAACACAACTGGAACAAGTCGAGGCCAGATGACAGGCATTTATATTTGCCACATAAATGGTGGCATTTCTGCTGGTTAATGCATAGGTCCATCTGATTTTTTATTTTTCACAGTTAGCATTTATTTTTTGCCAGCAATTCTCTACAACAGGACTACCTACACGGTAAACCAGACAAAATCCAACCCCAAGCTGGACCGTGACCCAGACCTCTCCGGGGTCCTACGCGTGGTGATGCTACCTGCATTTCTCTGGGAGAGTCTATATTTCTTAACAGTTATCCCAGTTTCTTAGGAAAAACAATGGCGCGCTGCCACAACACCCAGCAGAGTCCACTTCTGCCCCTCTGGTCCGGCAGAGCCCAAGACAGTGCTTGCTCCCTGCCGACTGAGCCCTGCTAGGACACGTACCCTGATGCAGAATAGCCACCTCTTTAAAAAGACATTTCTCCCCACTGACACGCTCTTTGGAAATACAAACAATTACGTGGTGCAACTGATTTGCTTTTTCTAATTAACAGTTTTCTTGCTAGTTCAGGAGTTAGTTCAACATGGTCCCACGGAAAATTAGCCCAGCCACATTGCTCTAAACACGCAGACAGCTGGAAAAATATCGGAGCTTTTACTGCCTGAGTACTTATAACAGCTTAATGTCCAACAGGTTCTGTGATGTCGGTGGGGTTGTGGACATCGCATGCATCCACATTCACAGCAATCCAAATCCTGACTCAGTCAAGCCTTTAAGCTTGTGTAAGTTCTTCCAAAACACAATGGAAGAACGTGCTGAAACGCGGAGGTAAAACAAACAAACAAAAATCAGTGTTTAACAGTGAAATAAGTGCTTGTACTTTCAGCAGAATCGGAACCATAACATATATTTCTATTTCTAACTTAATCTCTTCCTATAGCTTGTTCTGGGCTGCACCAGCCTTCGTAGAAAATGTCCTTCATGATTCATTGTGTTACTAGGGAGGGAAAAATATGTTGGGAGGAACATTTAGTTCCTGTGTAACTCAACTGAGTAACAAATTCAGAACAAGCAGTTACAATTAGCAGATATTGTTGTTGCCAAGATCATATCATTTCATAACCAGACTTAATTAAAAGAGCAGTTTAGGTGCCTGGCATCCAGCTTCTCTTAGTTCAAAGCCTTTTCCCTGAATCTAAATCCTAGAAGCAGCAGAGGAACAGCACCCATCATCCAGAGAAAAAGATGTTGCTCAGCCCTCACCAAATGCTTTATATCTCTTTTGAAGCTTCTAATTGCTATGCTGATATAGCAACAACTCTACTGGATAACAAAAGGACCCACAAAACTCCCCACCGTGCTGGTTGATAGCTACCCTGCTCTGCAAACCAGCTGGGGACACCAGAGAGTGACAGAACCACATGAAAATGCAACACAGGACCCTTCCAATTACTGGTCTGACTTGGAACCAAAACACAGCGAATGGGTTTTGATTACGGACTAAATGCAAATTTTCTGTGATGTTGAAATAGCAGTGACGGGCTAAGACCTGTGCTTTGACCTAACTCTCCTTTCTTCAGGGATTCTGCAGATTGCTTCCAATTCTCACTGCAGCCCTCGTACCTCCCAGCTATTCCCCAGGTGTTTCTCCTCTTTGACTTCCATCAGTTCCTCTGGTAGAGAAGCATAAGACATGTTATTATTTCAGTTATGAACTCCCATTAGTTTCGTAGACTCAGTATTTTATTAATTCAACCTAGTATTAGATCTCCCGAAATTTGCTTTTCATCTGTCTTTGGCAATCTGAAGTTTGCATCCAGCCACTAGTATTCATAATATAGTTAAAGTTACGAGGTTTATTAAGTCACCTAAATTCATTGAAGGGAATAGTATGTTATTTTAGGAGTAAATTGCAAAAGAATTCACTAAGTGTACTGCATATCCTATGCATGAATTATAGCAGAACTATTTAAAACTTATATTGGTCAATATTTTTATTTCAAACACACCCAAACAGTACTCTGAAGTTATTTTGAACAATTAAGCACATCTGCTGATAAAAAAAAATGACACTCTGCATGCCCCCTCTGATTTTATTCCTAATGAAAGATTTTTTTCCCCCCTTTTTTTTTTGTTCAGAAAATTATTTTAATACATTGCAGTAATCTATAAATAATGATGAAAACCTAGAAGGTCAAGGAAATGAAAATCACAGCACATTCCCTGAAGGAGCATTAGAAAGTTTGTCCTTCTACAAGTAATAAATTATTAGCCACATGTTAAAGTTAAAACTGATAAAAAGATGATATAATACTCACGTTACCTAAATGGAGTCTGGTTTCTGCATAGTAAAAAGCTAAATATTCTAGCACATTTTACTGAAATTATTGAATTCCTTCCTGTGAACTATTTTGCTTCTGCAGCAATGGCTTATCTGAGCTAAATGGGGCTTTCATCCCTTCCCTGAGCCCTAGCCATGCACCAGTACCTGGCAAAGCCCTACGAAATGGGACAAGGCTGTGAACATCTCAGGTACTCAACAGGCACACTGGGTTCTCTGCGGGCCTCGGACATGAGGTGTTAAACCAGAGTTTCCCAGCAGGCAAAGCACAGAGACTGAGCTGAAAACTCCTCTCTCCTTACAGGACACCAGCATTTAGCTCAACTGAGGTTTGCAGAACTCTCCGACTAGTTTGGGCAAACCCATTGTTGCACATGGGGTGCAGATCTTGTTAGGAACAACAGACAGACCTGTGCAGTTCTTAATTTCCAATATTAGGATGAAACACTACTCTAGGTTACTCTTATTTTTTTTTGTGGATGACTAAAATGATACTCACAAGGAAAAGATGATGAGAAAGAACTAAGGTGTTTCCCTTCCCCCGTCCTCCTGTCTTTAGCATTTTACTTCCAATAGAAGCTAGTTCTCAAAAACTTCTTTTCCCCAAAATTTAGTGTTCCTGTAGTTCCCTTATGCCTGTATCTGATCACCATGAAAAGCTCACACAGAGGGGGAAAAAACCTAACCCAAAGCTACTTCACTGTAAGAGAGATCTGCATTCAGAATAGTACCAAGGAAACTCGTGTAAAAATTGCAGGCCTGCATTGCCAGCACCAAGTAGAAGTGCTTAAGGAGCACCTTAGCAGAATATTACAGTAGATTCAGCAAGAGGGATAAAAATCCAGCTCAGATTTCATTATTTCCATACTTGATCCCCGCCATAACTACACCAGTTGTAAAAATCAAGCGTACGTCTAAAAGGGAAGGGCTGTAGAAGACCCTTCGGGTGTTCCTCTTCTGAATGTTATAGTCTGTTATATCACCAGTAATAAGTACCATAACTAAGTAATAAAACTTAATCATCCTGA